ACTTAGGCCTCTAGAGTAACTCATGCTGCTTTATATCAGAACACTCACAATATAAACGTTTGAGAAGTTGAACAGGAAAAGTGGCTAAATCTTTAATGTAGCTTTTATATGCTTTCACTAACCAAAGAATTAGGGTATCATATCTTGCCTCCCATCCTGTGAACTAGTAACACACCTTTTTTGTTTACAGCACACATTTTTTGTAAAGCAACACTTTGAGGGGATGGGCAAACATACATTCTAGCTGCTTTAAAGGTGGCTGTAGGGAAGCTGCTGCTTAGTGGTGTGCAGCAACTGTTTTGACTTAAATGTGACATTTGCCTGAGCCCATAGTGATACAAGTGAGCTAACTCATCCTAACATGGACCCTGGATAAAGCAAGGTTAAAGCTGGAGCAGTTTTGCTCCACTTGCATTACAAAAGAATCATGCAGAGGTAACAGTTACATCATAGCATCTTGTAACTTGTATCCTCTGATATCAGTACAATTATTACCTTTCCCTGTACCCCCAGAATATCTTCATGTATCCAAGCAGCGAGTTGAAATAGTTAATAAAATTGAAAGCGAGTCAAACAAACACCATTTGCTTAACTTCTCAGGAGAGATTAGTTTTAGGGCCTTAAAATTCTGTTTGTCTGGCAAAAAGGGTTTGCTTTTTTCACAGGAACTCAAGTGTTATTAAATGCCAGTAAGTACACAAGGCAAGGGATGAAGGGGAGGCAGAATTTCAAAGGACTTGACAAAAGCCATCAATGTAGAAAGAGACTTGGGGCTGCCACCTGAGCTTGCTCTGTACTGAGAACAACCATTGTCCTTAGTGCCCACCACTAGCAAGCAAAATGCTAAACCTGAAAATCAAATGCTGCTGCCTTGTGAATTTAAAATTAAATCCTGTCTAGGATCCCTTTAAAAGACATATGCAACCACTATATCATGCAGGAATTACAGAAAAAAGAGAGCATTCTTACCTGTGGACTGCAGTGTACCACCCAGCTACTAGAGTGAGGTTGATGACAACATCGACTGGAATCAGATCAGCTACTGCATCATTATTAGCTATCATTGTTCGGAGAATCCCTTTGCCAGCCTGTATGACAGAAAACCATGACACAATTTCATTGGCTTCAAGAGGATCCTACATCATTTAGTTCCTTTCAAGCCTGTGTGGAACACAGAAGATCATTCTAGTTCTGTGGAGAATCACGACTTTATATTCTTGTGTGGATCAATCTGTTTCATGCGCTTAGATGAATTTAAAATGTGATAAGTGCATGCAAACAGAAATGTATGAAAAGACAAAAGAGTCTAGCTTACCAAAACACAGCCAGGAAAAAATATAAAAACAATCAGAAGCCTAAGGGTGTGTCTATACTAGTCCTCTGCCAGGACTCAAAGGGAGAGCAGTGGACTCGGTATTACAGCGACTCTGCCAGGAAGAGAAGAGGAAGCAAGATGGATAGCCTGTGAAGGTGGACCCGGTATCCTTCCCCCAACTACTCCTTCTCTCTAAGGCAGGAGTTTAATTCCCAGGCAGTAGGGAGAGGACAGGGATACCAAGATCAGCCACACAGGAGGGAGAACAGGGGGAAGCAGTATTTAAATCAGCATCTGCCTGTGACCCCATTAGAGGGGGAGGCCACTTCCCTATAGGGGATGGCTGAGTTACAGCCAAACAGGGAGTCTTTAGCTGTGCAAAGCCCCTTGCTTAAAATCTGGGGAAAGAGAGGCCTGCCTGAAAATCCTGCATAGAATTGAGGTTTCTGGCATTTGTCCTTAACTCATAAACAATGATGTGTTTTTCCAGTGATTACTTGGTGTTCCTGACAAACCCAAGGGCCAAAAGCCAATTGTATATAGACAATCACACAAGCCTGTCCTTCACAACTTGGACAATAAACCTCAGTCCTGCTCTGCAACCACCTTCTGTTGTTCTAGTCCTGGATCACAAGAGACTGCCATGGCAGTTCAATCCGAACCTAGCATATTGCCTCCTATTCCTAATTTTCTCTCCAACACGATGGGCTACTTTCTGTGTTGCAGATTTTGTGATACGATCAGACTATGATGTGATCACCAATCTCATTTTCACTCATGCCCTAAATTACTATTTCAGTCCTGGTCTCTAGAGGACAGTCTGAAGCAGGCTTAGTTATGTATGATAGCAGTTATGGCATGCTACAAACATACCCTGTATTCACAACTTGTGACTGGCATTTATATGATACACACACACATATATCTGAAGAAGATAAATCATATTATTTAGATGCATGTTATAAATCTTTAATTTTAAATATGAACACATTATTTGGCAGGCTAAATAGGGTACATCATTTTTGCATAAGGCACAGCCTAATTTTTACATCAGCTTGCTGACATTCTTTATTCTGTGTAATAACAGCTACATCATCTGAGATCTCTGAGATCATTTGCCTGTTTTTAGGCTGACATTTTCAGACAGACACTCTCCCAGCCGAAGAGCTCTGGGGCCAATCACTATTCAGGGCATGTACTGAAACAGCATTAAAACCCCAGAACAACTAAACATGGCTTTGCATGAGGAGGTGGTAGGGAGAGGGAGGGCTGTACATATAATGTGCAATACTGAAACAAAGTTCTCCCATTATAGTTCAATGGAAACATGATTCATTTCATGCCACCTCTGACATGACACAAAACAAAGCTTCTCACAGCAGCAGATGCTACTGTAGGAAAATAAAAATGAATTAGATTCTATAAAGAACAGAGCTGTATTCCTATTCTTTATAAGAATTAATAGAAAGATGGGGATTTGTACAGACAAATGACCAGGGCTCATGTACTTTAAACAAACCAATGCAAAAACTTTGAAACAGCTGGAGTTTAGATAAAATAATCCAAAGAAATTTATCTGAACTATCTCTACACCCTGAGTTTGTAAAATGGTGCAGAATATCAATCTCATCCACCATATTTAATCACCACAAGATCCAGAAATGGAATTAATTTTGTATATACACGTAAAAGTGATCCAAATGGACTTTTCTGTTGTTGTCATAAGTTTCAATGACTAAAACTTGAACTATTCCTTCTTACCTTATGAAAAAGTGGATTTTGCATTAGACTGAAAGCTGATACCCTGATATACATTCAGATGTCTTCAGTTAAGTATTCCAGGGCCCAACACTGGCAAAGTCCATCTACAGCCCTTGAAAATGTCACTCTAAGCACTTCTAGTTTCCATATTCCTGGCTCTTGGTGCAGTCTTCAATGGGCACCTATTTAGCTAACTGTGAGACCAATGGATTTGAAGTTAAGGACTAGAGACGTCTTCTTTTTTTCTTCCTGGTCATCTTAGTGGTTATTTTTTGTCTGTCTACAGGGCATTTGTGTCATGTATATTCCCAAGAGAATTCTATTCCTGGGCATGTAGTCCTGTGCACATGGACAACTATGTACCTGATTAAGTCAATGGAGGAACTTCCTTTAACATTGATGGTGCAGCAAGAAACCCTTCAGGAAAACATGAATCATCGTATCAAATGCCTTGAAATGTTTTGCTTTCCCTGGGTTAATATCACAAGAACAGGCTATATCATAAAACTTGTGACTTACATTTCTACAGCTTTGGCACAAATCCAACAAAGATCTATAGCAACTACAAGATGTTACTAGACAAAAGTTGTCTGATAGTCAATGTGAAAACCACTGATCATTCCAAGTCCACAAGATGCAAACTCCCTTCTGAACTGTTGCAAAACTGATTCTAATTTTAGTGTAAAGGCCAAAGAACAGCACTAGGCATAACCTCTCTTCTTTGGAGTTATTGTCTCTGGTGTCAGGGATCGTGCACACTGGAAGGGGAGGGGAGGGAAATTTGCACTGATTCTGCCTGTGCTTGGGCTTAAGTCTCCAGGGTTGCTGATCTAACATTTTTCATATATATTTACTTCAACGTGCACATTCCATGTGGCATGCACATGGCATGATAGTAGCTTGGGTGCTGTTAAATAATTATTGTGTATAATACCATTTTAGGTGCATCATCTAGGCTGCTGGCAGACATAAAAAAAAAAACCAAACTAAAAAAACCCCAGTGCTTTATCAGAAGAGGCATCAAGTTAGTTTGAGCTGGCTCTGCAGTGTCTTTACAGATTGTATGCTTCAGCAGGGGCTTTTTGGTGCTATCATCTAATAGTTGATTCAATCAGCTATTACATAAAAGTGTCAAAAAGCCCCACTGAAACATGCAATCCATACAGACATTGGGCAAACTGGGTCAAACTAATGCGATGCTTCTTTTGGACATGCACTGTGTTTGGTACGAAGGTGCACCGAGCTTAAAGGGTTTTTTGGAGTTTTTTTTCACATCTCTAAGTAGCCCTATATATTACCAAAACTATTTTTGTAATGCATGTAGTGCAAAACCCAAACAATATTACCATGTACATACTTCAAGACGCAAGAATTTTGTTTTGGCCATATGCTTTTTTGAACCACCACTCTAGTTGGAAGAGCTGCTGGACAAGCTTTCAGGCAATCAGCTGTATACAACACTGTCAGGTGGTCTTCTGCAGAAGGGCACTTGATGCCTCAAACCTGTCCAACAACTTTCACAGCTAGAGAGTTGGTCCAATAGAAGTATATCACAAAAAAGTCTTGCCTCTCAGACATTTCCTGGAACATCATGGCTACAACACTCC